GATAAAAGGTCTGGAGTTGATTCCAAGCTTTGAATTTGCATTTGGTAACTGTTCATGGGAACTCTCAACATGCGGTCCAAAGAGGTGTCGATGCAAGTGAAGGCCGGCACCATTAGGCTGAAAAAACAAAACAGACCTCTCAGAGAGACAGCAGAAACTTTAAGAGTGGCCAAATCAACAATTTGGTACATTCTAAAAAAGAAGGAATGCACTGGAGAGCTCAGCAACACCAAAAGGCCTGAAAGACCACAGAAAACAACTAAAGTGGATGATTCACAATTCACAACATCTAGCTAAGTCAAGTATACTCTGGAGAAGGTAGGTGTATCATTGTCAAAGTCTACAATCAAGAGACACCTTCATGAATGTAAATACAGACGGTTTATCTCAAGATGCAAAATGACTGGTAACACTCAAGAACAGAAAGGCCAGATTAGACTTTGCCAGAAAACATCTAAAAAAGCGTGCTCAGTTCTGGAACAAGAGTCTTTGGACAGATGAAACCAAGATTAAATTGTACCAGAATGATGGGAAGAGAAGAGTATGGAGAAAGAAAGGAAGGGCTCATGATCCAAAGCGTACCACATCGTCCATCAAATATGTGGAGGCAGTGTTATGGCATGGGCATATATGGCTGCCAGTGGAACTGGGTCAATGGTGTTTATTATATGACTGCTGATGGAAGTAGCAGGATGAATTCTGAAGTGTATAGAGCTATACTTTCTGCTCAGATTCAGTCAAATGCTGCAAAACTGATAGGACTGTGCTTTACAGTACAGATGGGTAATGACCGAAGACATACCGCAAAAGCAACCCAAGGGCTTCTTAAGGCAAAGAAATTAAATGTTCTTAAATGTCTGATGACCATGGCCATGCTTTTCACTTACTGAAAACAAAACTGAAGGCAGACAGACCCACAAACAAACAGCAACTGAGGGTGGTAACTTAGCAATGCTTTTGGGAAACCTAGCCCAGATCATTCTTCATTTTGCATATTCATTTTTTTGATCAGTTTTATAAATTCTGGAGCTGACTGTGATGTGTATTAATGTTGGACTGGTGTGCTCTTTTTCTGTGGTGCTTTTTAAATGTCTTATCACTGAAATAAATAATTTGGAATTATTTGAATAATATCACAGACAAATCTTAAGGAAATATTTTCTTCGCTTTATTATGAAGAACAATACATACAGACTCCCCTCTTTCTCTGTCTCTCTCTCTCTCTCTGTCTCTCTCTCACACACACACACAAACACAACTAACATGATGTACTGTAGTGGAATGTGTATGAAAAAAAATTCATTATCAAATATAAAAAAAATGAAAAGAGTTTTTAATAATAACACAAAACAAACAAACAAACAAACAAAAACTAATAGGTTCTACAAATGTCTTGACACCAGAAAGTACTGAGCACTTAATTAGAAGTGTAACAGCACAACATTTACAGGAAACACAGAATATAGAACAAGCAAGTCTAATATTTACACTGCATTAATTTGCAAACACTGAACTGCAGAAGAATACAGTCAAATACATAAAACATTCATTGTGATGCGTAAAGAAAATGTCATGTGCACTTATAACCATCTGTGATAAAAATTTTAAACATAGCTCTGAACTTCTTATAAAGAGTAATACATTTAGGGTATTAAGGTTATGAGCTGCTAACACTTAGCTCAAACTATTTTAACTGCATTTTTTAAAACATTATCACCATACAAACAGATGAAAACAGTAGGAATGATTTGAATTGCTTTCCACCTTGTCTTCTGGAGCACTTTCAGTTAAAATTTTTTTTCATCAGTTTTTGCACCCAGAGCTGTTTGGGGTCAGAACAAATTTTCTTTGATTTCTTATATGCAAGAGTGAACCTTTTTGGAAACATATAGAAAAAAATATTATTAAACCTCAATCTATCAACTGATATATTAATGACATGACAGTTTTACTAAAATATCATACAATAACATGTTGACCTTCATTACAAGAAATAGAATACCCTCTCCCTTTGGAGGTTCAGTCTGAATTTTGAGAAGTTTATTCATTTCTCTGAGTTGCATCGAAAAAAAACAACAGAACTTACACAACAGCGGGGATGTTGCATCCTCCATCAGTCTCCTGAAGTCTATAGCCTATAATTGTTCGTTTGATGTGTTTTGTAGGCTCTTTACTATACTTTAGGCAGCAATTTTCATAAGAACCTGTTACAAAATGGGGATAATATTAATCTTCATGCAACTCTACTGATAAAATGGCATACTGATTCTTTGAGCTGCATAATATTTTCAGCTGAATGTACATGAGGCAATGTCCCCAAAAATATTCCCAAAAACAAATTTAGTTTTTTTTTATGCACAATACTATTAAAACATCTTGATGGCTTTTGGAATGGCACAATAAAGACAGCACACTTTTAACCCCAAAACACATGTTAATCATTACAAAAGGATGGTGCAGATGTGGTTACCTACCTTGTGCCAAACTTGGATACATGCATGCCAGAAGCAGGAGAAAACAGAGGACACAAAGCTTCATTGCTGCTCTTTGTAATCTGATTTTACGTGAAGCAGAATAAAACATACGCTTTGAGATCTATCATTAAATTAATCTTATTTTGTATGTAAACATTTCCCGAGCTGGGATAAAATGTGTGGGGTAAAAATGTGTGGGGTAAAAATGTGTGGGGTAAAAATACATACCTTGGCAGTCTCTGAAGAATAGAGAATGTTGCTCAGTCTCTGAAAATCCACTGCTCTTATGCACCCTTTGGGGGAGCTTCTGCCATTTATGGTTTTCAGCAATTACACTAACACGCCTCTTTCTCTCATTTCACACAGGATCCTACCAGTGATGAAGAAGGCATTAACTTGAAATCAAGTTTTTCTGGTTGGCAGAACAAAACTATAACTATGTTATGACATATCTTTAACTCTTTAACTGACATCTCTACCGTAAGGTAGACCTTACTTTCAGTGGGAAAAAAAATCTGTCAAAAGGAGGAGATGAGAGCGCAATCTTCCCACATGTTGGCATGGGGAGATGGGGCTTTTCAGTTTTCAAGTGACAGCAGCAGTTTCCACACTTCAGTCACACGAAAGGAAGAAAGTTGCTGGTCAGTCATTAAAATGATAGGGTCAGACAAGAAATCAAGTAAGTAGGGATCAAACCATGATGTTGCTGAGAACAGTGCAGAGGCTAACCAATAGAAATATAGCAAAATATATGAGAAATACAGAAATACTTGTATGCCATAATTTTCCAAACTCATGTGTAACTGTATGTATGTATGTATGAATGTATGTATATATATATATATATATATATATATATATATATATATATATATATATATATATATATACAGTCAGGTCCGGAAGTATTTGGAGTTTTTGTGATTTTGCCTTTATACACCACCACAATGGATTTGAAATAAAACAATCAAGATGTGATCGAAGTGTAGACTTTCAGCTTTATTTTAAGAGGTTCCACTAAAATATGGCATTTACCATTTAGGAATTACAGCCATTTTCAGCAAAGTACCTCCATTTTCAGGGGCTCAAAGGTATTTGGACAATTCACTGACAAAAAGCTAATTGACCAGGTGCGGTCCATTCCCTTGTTACTTCAAGACAAATGAAGCAGATAAAAGGTCTGGAGTTGATATCAGGTATTGAGTTGGCATTTGGCAGCTGTTCGACTGGAGCTACCAATATGAAGTCCAAGGAGACCTCAGTGCAAGTGAAGGAGGCCATCATTAGGCTGAAAAAACAACATAAATCTATAAGAGAGATAGTGATTATAGCTGAAAGTCTACACTTCGATCACATCTTGATTGTTTTATTTCAAATCCATTGTGGTGGTGTATAAAGGCAAAATCACAAAAACTCTGTCATTGTCCAAATACTTTCGGACCTGACTGTGTATATATATACATATATATATATATATATATATATATATATATATATATATATATATATATACAAATGTGAAATGTAAGGAGAGGGGGATCTGTGAGTGGATTATAAGGATGGTCATGGGAATATTTTATTTTTTCCTCAAGTAAACATCAAAATGAAACAATTAATGGGATTTTAAATACAATTTCATAAATATTACAATAATTATATGATTATATAAATAATTATAATATATGTAGTAATTATATAATTTTAATCATTTGTTTTCAGTTCTATTTAATCAGTTGTACTCTTCTAAATTACTGTAATTTATTGAATTTACTGAAAATATCATAAATAATCACATTGTACCTGAAAAAAACTGAAGTAAAATGACTAAAAAAATTGTAATTCATGGGAGATAAATGAAATTAGAAAATTTACAAAGCTTGCAAGATACCTGTTGTGAAAAATTTTCCTGTTGTGCAAAATGCTTTGAATTGCTGTATTAATTGAAGTTACTGAAATTTGCTGAATTTACTGAGAATATTACGAATTAAGACTTTGTGCCTGAATAAAACTGAATTAAAATCACTGAAAATGACCTGGAAATTACATTGACCACAATATACCAATACAAGTGTATGCATTATTTCTAAACAGACTTTTTAAATAATTTTTTGTGTGTGGACCCTGGTAACTATGAAATGTATCCAAGACCTACTAACAAAAGTTAAGGTATATTTATTAGTGAAAAATGCTCATGAAATAGTACTGGAAATATAAAGCAAGATTTACCATGAACAGACATCTCAACCATACAGTAGAGTTTTATATCTTCTAGATGAAAACATAAATTCAAAGACAAAAATGCATGAGGTCAATTTTTAGATGTCTGTTAATAAGAATGTTAAGTTGTTGTTCCTCCTTCGGCTGCTCCCGTTAGGGGTCGGCACAGCGGATCAATGGTCTGTGTATTTGATTTGGCACAGTTTTTCGCCAGATCTCCTTTCTGACACAACCCTCCCCAGTTTTATCCAGGCTTGGGACCGGTACTGAGAGCGCACTGTTGCACACAAAACCAGTAGCTGGGGTTGGCTCCCTGGCGGGGACTCGAACCCGGGCTGCAGTGGTGAGAGCACTGTGGCCTTAGCCCCTAGTCCTCCAGGGACCCCTACTAATAAGAATTTTAAGTAAAAATTTTTTTTTTTACTATTTTCATGGCCACTTCAAATGTCATCCTGTATTTTTTCAGAAACTGCCTTCCAAGAGTTCATTGATTACTTTTTCAGTAGGAATGAAGGATTGTTAACAAACTTTTAATTCTGATAAACTAACCGTGTCAATGCTGCGCAATACTGGATTCCTGACATGTCGTCCCCCCAGCTCTTGATCACGCACATCTGGAACTCGCCAAAGCCAATAAAAACAAAAATCTGAGAAGTGAGATTGTGCAATGACTTGCATGAACTCTGGTCATACACAACTAGAAACAAGTCCATGTGTTCTTTTTTAAAACATTGTCTAAAGCAAAAGTAACTTGAGTCTTAGGTGTTCTATAGTGTAAGTTTTTAGATGTCTAGTTAAGCAAAATATAAGTTTTTATAATAACAACATTAAAGGAATAGATACAATACCTTTATAAGTGTCTTTTCTTTTCTGATATTCACAAAATCTTTCCAGATTTTATGATGCACATTTTTCAATAATATATATTTTGTCTTTGAATATATGACAATTTTCAGGACTCAATGGCACCTACATACTTATAAGTATCTAGAAGAGAAGAGAGAAGCACCACTATGTATGTTATTGCGAAATATCTTGACCCCATTTTTTTTTCTACAACCCTAAAAAGGAGTAAACAAAATTCCACATTCCCTCAAGTACAGTTTTTTTTCTTCTTCTTCTTCTTCTTAATTTATAAAAGGATATATAAATAGTATGAGGACATTTTGTTAATCAATTCCGAACTTTTTTATTTTATTGTGAAATTGGAAAAAATGATACCAATTTCCTGGACACATGGTTGTCCTCACTTATAATCCTCACTAATGTCTGCAATTATTGTATGATATTTCATGTGTCTTGTGAACCTATATATTTTCTTTTCTTTATGAGGATTATCTTCAGATATTCTAATGTTATGATGTCTTGATATTATTCAGAATATCTCCACATTCTCATCCTCTGTCGATCTCACACATTTCCAGTGGGATTTAGGTTTTCCGTAAGTTGGATGGGAAAAAAAAGTTGTTCTAGGTTCAAGGACTCAGTTTTTTGTATATCTTGAGAAAATTCTTGGATCATTATCATGCTGCAGCCCAGAATAACCCCAATGTTGAATTATTTAGTGATGGCTGCCAGATTTTGTGCCACAAAGTCCAAAGTACAGGACAAGTTCATGATCTCATTTACTGTAAAATTATTTCAAATGCAAGTTTCTCATAAATCTTTGGAAGAAAAAAAAAATCACCTTATTTGGAAGTCATGATTCTTTTCGGCTTTCACATTTACTGCAATATTTCTCGGTGTTGAAATTTTCTTATTTAAAACCAAAAATCTGTGGTGTTCATTGACATAAAATTGTGTTTGTCTCACCTCACCATAGAACCTGATCCCATAATAAAATTTAACAGAATTTAACTAAAAACTCAAGAGCTTTTGTAAGGCCATATGCCAAGACACAGTGAACAATGTGGAATGTTTTCTTTGTTTTTCACAGTAAGAAGCAATTATCCTTACTGTGCATGGGGGGCAAAATACACATGCAATTCATTCAGACTGCTTCATCCCATTTGTTTAAACTTCTTCACATGTTTTAAGAATTATTATGCAAGTCATTCCTTACAGCATGGTCCATCAGAAACACTACTATGATATAACGTTGCTAAGTTGCAAATGCTATAATAATAATAATAATAATAATAATAATAATAATAATAATAATAATAATAATACACCAGATTTTGTGTACAGTGTCTTCACTGGTGAGGTCAGACATAAATAATATTACTAGATATATATCAGTAGAAGGCACTCAGTAGAAGGCAAGAAAATGAAATGACTATGACCAGTTTCTTTTTAAATTGTTTCCAAATGTTAGTTAGAAATTTGTCATTCCTACTGGTGAAGTACTATGTAATTACTAGATCCTAATCTTACACACAGTTGTATGCAAAAAAAAAAAAAAAACTACTTGCATATCACAGCTTGCAAACGCTTTTTGTAGCCAGCTAGGAGTCTTTCTATTCTTGTTTAATGAATTTTCACCCACTCTTCCTTACAGAACACTTTTAGTTCTGTCTTGCATGTTTAAGAGCTACCTACAGATTTTCGATTATGTTAATTACGTTAAGTTGGTGGACAGTGAGGGCCATTACAAAAGTTCAGCTTGTATTTCTTGAGAAAGTTCAAAGTGGATATTGAGGTATGTTTTGGGTCATTGTCCTGTTGTAGAAGCCAGTCTCTTTTTTTTTAGCTTCAGCTTCTTGATTGACTGTGTCAAATTTGTTTCCAGATTTTGCTGATATTTACTAAAATACATTCATTCAGCTACCTGTGCAGTGTTTCCTGGGCACATACAACCCCAAAGTATAATAGATCCACTCCCATGCTTAACAGTTGGCAAGGTGATTTTTACTCAAATGCTGCTCTTTTTTTCTCCAAACATACCTTTGGTGATTGTGGTCAGAGAGTTCAATTTCTACTTGATCAGTCCACAGCACTTGTTTCTAAAATGCCTCCAGCTTTTCTAGATATTGTTTTGCATACATCATACATTGCATATACTCATTTTCCTTCTGATGACTCTTCCATGCAGGTCTTGTTTGGGCAAGCAGTGCTACACAGTGAAACATAGCACCACCATCTCTGTGTCAGAAAAACCTTCCTGCAGGTCTTTAAGGATTTGATTTGTCTTTCTGCCCAGCATATGGGCAGTTCTGTCTGAAAGTTTTCTTGGTCTTCCAGATCTTGCTGTGACTTCCACAGTTCCCTTTAATTGGCCTTTCTTGACGGCATTTTGGACAATAGAAATCATGAGCTGGAAGCACTTTGATATCTTTTCATAGCCTTCCTCTGCTTTGTAGGCATGAATGAATGAATGAATGAATGCCCAAACTTTTGCATCTGTGTAAAAAATACATGTTCAGTTGGGTTGCAATCTGGTGACTGCAGATGCTTTAGCATAAGATTTACATAATTTTCATACTCAACAAACCATTCAGTGAAACCTCATGCCCTGCAGCAGATAGGAACGTTATCCTGAGAGATGGCACTCCCATTAGGATAGAAATGTTTCATTATGGGATAAAAGTGATCAGTCAGCTCCACTGATTTGCAGCTCTTCCCTCTAAGAGGACAAGTGGACCCAAGCCATGACAGCAAAATGCCTCCACTGCATTACAAGGCCTTTAGGCTATTACTTTAATTTGTCACCCGTCTGCATATACATTAGATCTAATTATTATAAAAGCATAATTTCTACTGGAATGACCATTTACCTTCGAAAATAATAAATACACTATCCAACTGGTATATAACGTTATATAATATTGATGTTATATTAATAACAAAATAATAATTAAAAATATTATAATAATAATATCATAATATAAACATAATAATGTTAATATTGTAACATGCTAGCACATATGTTTCTGGACATATGAATATGAAAACACTAGGGTTACAGAATTACTGTCTGACTCTGAAATTAGTGACACTTCAATCGAAAAAAAAAACTGTGTTAAAAAATGTGTTAAAAATGTGTTTAAAAAGAATGTGTTAAAATCAGTAATTTATTAATTTATTAATATTTAAGAGATCTTTTTAAAACCAATACCAAGAATGTGACTTAATAAAGTATCTCCGCAATTAAATATCTGTTTTTGCTTCCTGATTACAGTTACAGTTACATTGACAAATAATGGAGACTGAAATCCTTAAAATGTCTCGTTTATAACTTTTTTACACCAGTATTTTACACCAGTGACCAATTTGAGAAATGTGCTATAAATGTACATGTGATTTTTGACCGTGGCATGATTGTTGGTGCCAGACGGGCTGGTTTGAGTATTTCTATAACTGTTGATCTCCTGGGATTTTCATGCACATCAGTCTCTAGAGTTTACTCAGAATGGTACAATAAAGAAAAAACATCCAGTGAGCAGCAGTTCTGCTGATGGAAACACCTTTTGATGAGAGAGGTTAATGGAGAATAGCCAGACTGGTTTGAGCTGACAGAAAGGCTACAGTAACTCAGATTACCACTCTGTACAATTGTGGCGAGCAGAAAAGCATCTCAGGATGCACAACACGTCAAACATTGAGGCAGATGGGCTACAACAGCAGAAGACCACGTCAGGTTCCACTTCTGTCAGCCAAGAAGAGAAATCTGAGGCTGCAGTGGGCACAGGCTCACCAAAACTGGACAGTTGAAGACTGGATAAACATAGCCTGGTCTGATTAATCTCCATTTCTGCTGAGGCACACAGATGGTAGGGTCAGAATTTGGTGCCAAATCCATGAATCCACGGACCCAACCTGCCTTGTGTCAACAGTCCAGGCTGGTGGAGGTGGTGTAATGGTGTGGGGAATGTTTTCTTGGCACACTTTGGGCCTGTTTATACCAAACAATCATCACTTGAATGCCACAGCTTATTTGAGTACTGTTGCTGTGTTGTGTGGATCCATGAGCAGTGTGGTTTATTAGAAAAACACATACAGCATCCAAGACAAACAAATATCATGAATCAAAAGGCAGGGTAAATAAACCTTATATTATCCAAAAACAAGTAGTTGAGAAAACAGGCACCAGGGACAGTCCAAGACAGAAAACAGTCCAGGGTTAAAAATACAAAAAGTAATCTGACAGGGTTTCACAGCTCAGACTCACTGTGCAGTAGAACACTTCAGAAAGTGATTGAATGCTGGTATTGTTTTTTAATAGTCCAGGCAATGGCAGGAGTACCTAATAATCTAATGATTAATTTAACAATTCAGGTGACTGTGCCCTCTGGTGGACATTTAGGGCATGTGTCCTTATTGTACTTATTGTATTATACTTTATGAATAGTTCAGTGCATTAATTAAATTAAAACTAATTTCATATATGCCCACATCTTTCTTGTGTGATATCAATAAATGAAAACAAATGAACACAATCTT